GTCTTTATTTTGTTACTTTATGTTATCCAGATGAATGCCATCTTTCTATGTCTGTCCCTTTCTTTCTGACTCATTTCGCTTAGCATAATATTTTCCATTTAGTACCACTTGTATGTAAATTTCATGACTTCATTTTTTCTAACTGCTACATAGTACTCCGGGCTGGAGCAATAGCACAGCGGTAGGGCGTTTGCCTTGCACGCAGCCAACATGGCCGACCCGAGTTCGATTTCTCCGCCCCTCTCAGAGAGCCCGGAAAGCTACTGAGAGTATCTCGCCCACATGACAGAGCCTGGCAAGCTCCCCGTGACGTATTCGATATGCCAAACACAGTAACAACAAAGTCTCCGATGGAGACGTTACTGGGCCTACTCGAGCAAATCGACGAACAATGGGAGGGCCTTTACCTTTACCTTTACCTTTTACATAGTACTCCATTGTGTAGATGTACCAAAGTTTCTTTAACCAGTCATCTGTTCTCGGGCACTCAGGGTTTTTTTTCCATATTCTAGCTATTGTAAACAGTGCTGCAATGAACAAACAAGTGCAGATGTCACTTCAACTATACTTTTTGGCCTCTCCGGGGTATATTCCCAGGAGAGGGAATATATTTTTGTTTATTTTTTGACACAAACTTGAAAGGAAGAATGAAAAAGGAGGGAAAGAAGGAAGAAAGAGAGAAAGAAGGAAAAAGATAAATTTCTCTGAATATTTCAGGATTTGGTATACTGTAAGATATTGGTCATTCACAGTCACGGTCTTCCCGTTATTCATCGATTTGCTCAAGCGGGCCCAGTAAGATCTCCATCATGAGACTTGTTACTGTGTTTGGCATATCGAGTATGTCACGGGTAGCTTGCCAGGCTCTGCCGTGTGGGCGAGATACTCTCAGTAGCTTGCCAGGCTCTCCGAGAGGGGCGAAGGAATCGAACTCGGGTTGGCCATGTTGGCTGTGCGCAAGGCAAATGCCTTACCCGCTGTGCTATCTGGCTGCGACATCTGTCACCCCATTGATCGCCAGTGTTGATTCGGCTGATCTGGCTGGCTAGGCGGGTGTCCCTTTCCTCCCTCACCACTCCATGTGCGTCCTCCCGAAACTGCGCGCTCAGTCGAAGAGGATGGCCTTCCCCAAATAGAGACGACCAGTCTTTGGTCGAGGGTATACGAGTAGCTGCACTCCCCTGCTAGAACCTCCAAACTGTAAGATATAACAAATAATAAACAGTAGTGACCAATTCACATGTAAGTTACATTCCAAATTGGAAATAAATTTGTTATCTAGAGTACAAGTCTATCTATTATTCTGCTTAAAATCTTTTTTAGGATCCTATCAACTGATTGAGTAAAAATTCTGTCTCTTTTTGGAGTCATCAGTCTCTACCATCATAGGCCTTTCCCTTGTTTTCTTTCCTCTTACCTTACATTCTACCTGAAAATACATAATTCCCCTTCCGTCACTCAAATTCACTCGAATGGAGACGTTACTGGTGCCCGCTCGAGCAAATCGATGAGTAACAGGATGTCAAGTGATCAAGTGATCAAGAGTATTGCTATTAATTTTATGAGCATAACATTCAGCATGTGTCAATATTATGTCCAATGAACAATCGTGAACAAGGGGAGGATAGTGCTTGCAAACAAAACACAAACACTATCCTCCCATTGTTCATCAATTTGCTCGAGCTGGCTCAGTAACATCTCCATTTTGAGACTTGTTGTTACTGTGTTTGGCATATCGAATATGTCACGGGTAGCTTGCCAGGCATTGCTGCGTGGGTGAGATACTCTCGGTAGCTTGCGGGGCTCTCTGAGAGGGGCGGAGGACTCGAACCCGGCTCGGTCAGGCTGGCTACGCGCAAGGCAAACGCCCTACTGCTGTGCTATGGCTCCAGCCCACTTATAGGATACATTTTTTAAAAAATAATATTTTTTTATTGAATCACTGTGAGATTTGCTCGATTTGCTCTAGCGGGCCCAGTAACGTCTCCATTGGAGACTTTGTTGTTACTGTGTCTGGCATATCGAATACTCTCGGTAGCTTGCCGTGCTCTCCGAGAGGGGCGGAGGAATCGAACTCGGGTCGGCCTGTGAGATAGACTCTTACAAAGCTGTTCATGATGAGGTTTCAGTCATACAGTGTTCCAACACTTATTTCCCAGCACCAGTGTCTCATTTTCCTCTCATCACCCCTCATCACCCCTTCCCCACCCAAGCCTCTCTCTCACCTTTTTGGGCATTGTGGTTGGTAATACAGATACTGAAAGGTTATCAGGTATATACCTTTATCTACTTTTAATACTTAGTTCTTGTTCAGAGTGACTATTTCCTACTATTATTATCACACTAGTCTTTTAACTCTTTAACTCTCCTACCTACTCTACCCTCGCCCCCCATATATACACATACACTTGTGGTTAATTCCAACCATTGACCAGTCCTCCTAGCCCCTGGAGAACTGGTTAATGGTTGGAATCAATCACAGCTGATTACTTGGCCATGGTTATGCTTCATATCTTGTTTGTGGTGGTAATTTTAATATTTGTCAAAATGTATTATTTTAAAAGGATGAATTTTATTTTCATAAATTGTATCACATTTTTAAAAGTTGTGTACAAAATCCCTGTATTTAATGAGTTAGGAGTGTGATTTTTATGTTTAATAATTATGTCTAGACTTTTAAAAACTGATTTAGAAATTATTACATAATAGATTTATGCATCTGGAATGGTGATTTCAACTTCAACTACTAGCAAAATGCTTCCCTGTCCTCTATTTTAAGAAGCTAAAGCACAGAAGAGGGGTAGGAAAAGAAAAAGGGATATATAATATATATATATATGTTTTATTTAGTACTTTATGCCAAGTATTGATCCAATCACTTTATAACCATTTTGCTCTGCAGTCTTGGGCAAAAGGAAACTGATACATTATTATAGTATTATCATTATTTTTCGGGGGATCATATTCAGCAGTACTTAGAGCTTACTCCTGGATCTGCACTCAGGGATCACAACAGCTTAGGGGACTAGATAGGGTACAGGGGATTGAAAGCAAGTACTCTACCCAGTTCAATAATTATATTATTTTAAAAAAATGATAATATGTTATTTGCTACTGGTGTTTGCACAGTACAATCTGAAACTTAAAATTCTGCTCCTTCATTTATACTATTCAGAGCCCAGGGAATGTTTCTCTACATCTTTTGTCTCTTCAAAACAAATGCTGACATTTTCTTTCTTTTTTTTTTAGTGAAACACCATGAGGTACAGTTATAGACTTATAAACTTTTGTGTTTGGGTTTCAGTTATACAATGATCAAGTACCCATCCCTCCACCAGTGCCCATCCTCCACCACCACGGGTCCCAGCATCCCTCCCACCCCCCATCCGCCCCGTCCTACCCTGCCTCTGTGGCAGGGCATTCCCCCTTGTTCTCTCTCTCTTCTTTTGGGTACTGCGTTTTGCCAGAGAGGCCTTGAGTGGCAATCATGTTTGGTCTATAGACTACTTTTAGCATGTCTCTCCCACCCTGGGAGGGTCTTCACAACAACCTTTATTTGGTGCTCTCTTCTCTATCTGAGCTTCCTTTTCACCTAGCACATGTGGCTGGCCTTCAAGTCATGGAGCAAAATTCCTGGTATTAATCTCAGCCATTCCTGGGTGTTAGTCTCCCATTTTGTTGCTTTATGTTCCCCAGATGAATGCAATCTTTCTGTGTCTGTCCCGCTCTTTCGGACTCATTACGCTTAACATGATACTTTCCATGTAGTACCACTTGTAAGTAAATTTGGCGGGTAGGGCGTTCGCCTTACAAGCGGCCAACATGGCCGACCCGAGTTCGATTCCTCCGCCCCTCTCGGAGAGCCCGGCAAGCTACCGAGAGTATTCGATATGCCAGACACAGTAACAACAAAGTCTCCAATGGAGACGTTACTGGGCCCGCTCGAGCAAATCGACGATCAACAGGAGGGCCTTTACCTTTACCATCTTTTCTACAGCTGCATAGTACTCCATTGTGTAAATGTACCAAAGTTTCTTTAACCAGTCATCTGTTCTCTGGCACTCAGGTTTTTTCCAGATTCTGGCTATTGTAGAGTGCTGCAATGAACAAACAATTGCAGATGAATGCTGACATTTTCTGGGTTGTGCCTCTGGTGACAACAGATGAAGCTGCTTTATGACTTGGGGAGATTTAAGATGAAGAGCTTTAAGAAGTGAAGCCAACTGAATTTTCAAATACTTTTATTAAAAAAAAACAAATTCAATAAAGTGTCTCCATAATTAATCACTTGTCAGCCAGGCTAGGTGTCCATTATTTTTGTTTGTTTTCTTGATGACCATATTAACCTGATACACTATAGAAATCTTGCATTATGAAATAAGTTTTATTGCTCTTAAATTTTCATACATGAATAACTAGACCTAAAATGCATGAAACATGATTGCTAATTTACAGATTTGCCTGAGTCAAAAAGAGATTCAATAATTTAAGTCTTGCAAAACACATTGCTGAGAAAACAGCTGCTTAAACCACTTTCTTCTAAAAACTCTGCTCTTCTTACAACTTGAGTTTTCTTAGAGTGTCTAAGAAATGGAGGTGAACATTTCTGTCAAAATATTGTTTTCCTCCTGAATTATGATCTTTGTTTGATTCTCTTAAAAAAATGATAGGTTTTAAATAAATAGCACAAAACTATATGCTTGAATTATTATTCTTTATTGGTGCCTTAAACCCCAAATGTATTCACTCTTTAAATCATCTATAACAGAAAAAATTCTTTATTTTGAATGGTGCGATTTGCTGAAGACAAAGACAAAGGTGAAGCACCACTGCTGGTGCTGGATTGGGCACTGCTGTAAAGCATGTCTGCCTAGAGACAAATGAGGTGCTTTGATTCCAGTGCTGATTGGTTCCTTAGCTAATATTCTCCAATCCTTTTGTGCTTGAGAGCCTTCATAGGCTTCTTAATTCTTTGAAGTTGGTACAGTTTCATTAGGTGTGAGCTGTGTTGACTAAAATAAGTTTTTCTTCTGTTCTCAGATTGTGTGTTGGAAGATGGCTTGGTGCATCCCCAGAGGCCTGGGGATAGTAGCTGTGATGGTGATTCTAGTGGTGTGGAGCACTCCGGTGACTGAGGGTGGAGACACTCCAAGTAAGTGCAGACCCCATAGTCACTACCTTGGGGGAAAGGCAATGAGGGGCCTTTGAGTTTGAGTGGGGGAATCTTTGACTTAGGTTACAATCTTTATTCACAAATTTCTTCTTGGGAAAAGAGAGCTGTTTTACGTTCTTATTTTAGTGGAAATAATAATGGCTCAGAGTCCCATTTTTAATGGTAAGGTGAGGATAATCCTCATTTCAAGATCTAACTCTGGGAGTATTGTTGGGCAGAGACAGGACCACTTGTGAGTGTTCCCTATGAGCAAATACAGGATAAAATAAGTTTGTTTGTTTGTTTTCTTTTTTTTAAACCAATGATTTTCTCTGGAGAACACACTGTAGGACGTGTGATTTGCTTGGACTAAAAACTGTTGGATTTTAGGTTGGGGAAACACAAGGTTGAAGCTTTCTCAGGTGCTGAAGAAAGGGGCTTTGCATTTCTAATTTGAGTGCAGGGCCCATGGAGGCAAACTCAAGGTATCTTAGTGTACTTTATCCCTGATATGGACTTTGGAGGTTTTTGGGATTGTGTGGTCAAACAGGGAATTTAGTGGAATTCACAGACTTGAACTGACAACGGACTAAATTTGAAGAAAGGAGAATACAAAGAAGGAAAATAATACATGCTGAGGAACCACTTTAGACAGCATTAGTATCTTGTTATAAATTAGCTTCCAATTTTTCTAACTATCCATATGTAGGTCTGACATTTTTTATATACAATTATGCTTATGCTGAGTTTTTTCGAATTAATCTACAGAAGCTGGTAATTAGCATAATTTAATCGGAATCCAATTGATCTAATCAGAAATCTGTTCTTTTCAAAAAGAAAATAATCCTTCCTAAGACTGGATGTGCACCCCTTTCCACTCTGACAGAAATCCGTGGCTGAGGAGAGAGATGCGAAGGGAGAGAGGCGAAGGGAGAGATAGGAAGGGAGACCCTTTGCCAGGAACGAAGGAAAAATTCTTATCAGGAAAGGGACAAGATAATTTTTAGGCATTTCTGGTCATTCCCTTGAACTGCCGCGCTCAGGTGGATGCTGAGTCTCAGGTTCCTGGGACTCCTCAGGGAAAACGAATTTTCCATGCAAGGTTCTTTTTTCTAACTCCAGGGGCCCAGACTGTCAGTGCTTCTGCCCTCCTTACTGAACTCGCAGGTCCCAGGACTGTCCCCAGACAAGCTTCCCCCACAGCGGCCATTCAAGGACGGCCCTAGACCCTTCAGGCAGGCCTGGAGTAAGGAAGGAGGCGTCGGGGGCGCAGGGGTCTGCGGGTGCTCGGGAGCAGGTTCCGGTCCGGGCGGGCTCTGGGGCTCGGGCTGGTTTCAGGGGTTCGGATCCCATCGCTTACTTGCGGCCCAAGTGGCCCGCCCAGCCTGTGGTGTCCCCGCGGCGGCCTGACACGCGGTGATTCCCGCAGGGACTGCAGTGTACCAGGTGAAGAGCCTGTGCTACTCCACCAACGGGACGCAGCGGGTGCGGTACGTGCAAAGATACATCTACAACCGCGAGGAGTACGTGCGCTTCGACAGCGACGTGGGGGAGTTCGTGGCGGTGACCGAGTACGGGCGGCCGGACGCCGAGTACTGGAACTCACAGAAGGACATCCTGGAGCAGAAGCGGGCCGTCGTGGACACGGTGTGCAAACCCAACTATGAGATAGACATCCCCACGTCCTTGAGCCAGCGAGGTGAGCGCAGGGCACGGCCGCGGGCGCGAGTCTGGGCCGGGGAGTCGGGCGGGGGGCGCAGCCGGACCCCGCGCGGACCCCAGGGTGACCGGCAGGAGCGTGTCCGCGGGGAGAGGCGGGGACGGGGCGCTCGGGGGACTCGCTGCCGCAGCCTGGAACCTTCCGCAGGGCGCCCGCAGCTGCCCCGCCCTGACGCTGCTCTTGGGCAGAAACAGTTTTGATACTCGGGCCAATTCCCCACCGAGTCTTGAAACCCTGAGGACATAAAATCATTAGTTCCTTCCGCCATCTCTGGCGGAGACAAAATCTCCCCAGAGCCAGTTTTACCCGGAACCGCTGTATGGTCTGTTCTTAAAAACAGGAATTTATCTTGGAGGTGCTGTTACGGTAGCGCACCACCAGAGGGCAGCAGAGGGCGGAGCCACCAGCGTCCCTAGGTTCCCTCCCCTCCGCCCTTCTCAGAGAATTTTCTTCCCTATATTTCAGTGTTGATGGGTGAATAATAATACTCTCTCAAGAGTCTTAAAATTTAGATTAATCTTTGTTTTAAAATGTTTTCTTTAATATTTCTGGTTCCAATTAGAATTTATTTTATTTGGACATCTGTCAAATCTGTCACTGTCCTCCAGTTGTTCATGGATTTGCTCTAGCGGGCCAAGTAACCTCTCCACTGGAGACTTTGTTGTTACTGTGTTTGGGCATATGGAATACTTCACAGGTAGTTTGCCAGGCTCTCTCCGAGAGGGGCAGAGGAATCGAACTCGGGTCGTCCATGTTGGCTGCTTGCAAGGCAAATGCCCTACTGCTGTGCTATAATGGGCTGGAGATAGAGCACAGTGGATAGGGCATTTGCCTTGCACACAGTTGACCCGGGTTCAATTCCTCTGTCCCCCTCGGAGAGCCCGGAATGCTACCAAGAGTAACGCGCTCGTGTGGCAGAGCCTGGAAAGCTGCTCCTGGTGTATTCAATATGCCAAAAATAGTAACAAGTCTTACAATGGAGACGTTACTGGTGCCCGCTCAAGCAAATCGATGAACAACGGGAGGGCAATGTTTTCAATGCAGGTCCTCCTAACTTTTAGCAGACTTTTCCCTGCTTTCTTCTGACTACATCCTAATGTTATATAGTATGTAAATATTTATTTCTATAATATAAAAGTTAATATTTTTCTCACAAATGGTTGCCTTTTTTTTACCCCTAACATGTAAAGAAAACAATATTTTAGAAATCCATATACCTGACTACAATTCTAGTCAGACAAGGAAGCAGAACCAAAATTAGAGTGAAAGGCCTAGTTTAAAATTCTGCCATTCAATTGGGGTGCTGAGATCAGTAGCTGCCTCTAACAGTGTAAGTCCTACTTATACTTTCACGCTCACGTCATGTTCTCAGTAACCAAACCAACCTCCGTAAAAAAAATCTCAAAATATAGTTATTGAAAACATTCATGATGATAATGTCTGACTGCAAATTAAGCAAGTCTTTTTTTTTGGATTGAATTACCATGAGATACAAAGCTGTTCATGATGAGCCAGTTTCAGTCATACAATCTTCCAACACCCACTCTGTACCAGTGGATATTTTCCACCACCCATATCCCCAGTTTCTCTCCTGCCTCCTGCCCCACCCCTGCTCTGAGTCTCTAATGGCAGGCACTTTACTTCTCTCTCTCTCTCTCTCTCTCTCTCTCTCTCTCTCTCTCTCTCTCTCTCTCTCCCCACCTAAGGGCATTATGGTTTGCAGTACAGATCCTGAGAGGTTATCGTCTTTGTTGCTTTACCTATTTTTAGCACACAGTTCTTATCCAGAATGGTAATTTCTGACTATTTTTGTCATAGTGGTCCCTTCTCTATCCCAACTCCCTTCTCCCCCAGCACTTCAGACTGGCTTCCAACCAATCCTCCTGGCCCTTGTTTCTACTGAACCTGGGTATTAGTCTCATATTCTGTTTTTCTTTTTTTTCATATCCCACAAATGAATTCAATCATTCTATGTTTGTCCCTCTCCTGACTCATTTCACTCAACATAATACTCTCCCTGTGCATCCATTTATTTATTTATTTTTTGCAAGAGACACATGTTTAATTTCATTAATAAGAATGAAGCATATGAGATCAACACCAGGAGGATTACTCCATAGCTTAGAGGCCAGCCGGGTATTCTAGGGGAAAGGACAGTTCAGATAGAGAAGGGAGCACCAGATGGAGGGTGTTTGGAGGATCCTCCCAGGAGGGGAGATGCAGGTTGAAAGTAGACTGGACTGAACATGTTTGCCACTCAATGCCTCTTTTGCTGATCACAACACCCAAAAGGAGAGAGAGAACAAAAGGTAATGCCCTGCCACAGTGGCAGGGGGGGATGGGGGGATGGGGGGATGGGGGGGAGGGATATTATCCTGGTGGTGGAAAATGGGCACTGGTGGAGGTATGGGTATTTGATCATGGTATGACCGAAATCCAAGCACAAAAATTTGTAAATCTACAACTGTACCTCATGGTGTTTCACTAATAAAAAATAAATTAATAAAAAAGAATGAAGCATAAGGTTTTTTCCCAACCCTTTTATTTATTTATTTATTTATTTATTTAAATTTTTATTAGTAAAACATCATGAGGTACAGTTGTAGACTTACAAATTTTTGTGCTTGGGTCTCAGTTATACACCGTGTGCATCCATTTATAAGCGAATTTCATAACTTCACTTTTTCAAACATGTGCATGTTACATTGTTTGGATGTACCATAGTTTCTTTAAACAGTCATCTGTTCTCAGACACTGGGACACTCCTGTTGTTTTCAAATTCTGGCTATTGTGAACAGTGCTGTAATGAATATAGTAATACAGAAGTGCTTTTGGGCTCCTGAGGTATATTCCCAGTATATTCCTGGACAATATGGAAGCTCAAGTTCTAGCTTTCTGAGGAATGCCCACGTTGTTTTCCAGAAGGCTGAACCAGAAGACATTCCCACCAATAGCGAAGGAAACTCTCTTTTTCCCCACATCCATGCCAGCTCTGGTGATCTTGTTGTTCGTTTGCTATATGCCAGTCTCTGGTGTGAGATGGTATCTCATTGTTTTGATTTGCATCTCCCTGATGATTAGGGATGTAGGGATGTAGGACCTTCTTTTTTCATGTGTCTTTTGGTCTTTTGAGTTCTTTGAGGAGGTTGCTGTTCATTTCTCTTCCCAGTTTTTGATGGCATTTGATGGTTTTTTTCTTGTAAAGTTTTACCAGTGCCTCATATATCTTAGAAATTAGCCCTTCATCAGATAGATAATGGTTAAATAATTTTTCCCATTC